ATAATAATAATAATAAGAGAATTACGCTTGTGATTAAAGAAATGTGAGTTTTATTAAATGTTACTTCTAAAAGTAGTTTTATCTCTGAAGGTATCAGCAGTAAGTCGTTCTCACTGCAGAGGATGTGAGAACAGATCCGTATCAAACCCGTTGCTTTTCTGAATAAAGTCCTAAAATGCCTTTAAGTTGTGATCTCGTCTGTTTAAACAGGTTAAAATGAATTCAAGTGTTTTTGTGCCATAGATGACTCTGTTGACTCCTTTTAATCAAAAATAGTCTTTTAGATCAAATTATTAGCTTTACAAACCAAGTCAAACTGGTTGTAACTAAATATCATATTCATTAAATAATTAATTATCAACATTGTTGATTATCAAATCAACATTGTGCTTCTTTGAAGTCCAGCCAACCAACGTGATGCAAGCGTCCCGTTTGCAGTCAAAAATGTAAAATATTGACTCATTTGATGACTAATATCTCGATAAACAAACTCTAGTTTTTGTAAATGTACATTACCGTCGGCCAAGGCGAGGCAGATCCAAACGGCCATGATGGGCAGAAACATTTTGGTGCTGAAAGTTGTCCGGGTCTCTGTGCAGCGGAGCCGACTGGATCTCTGGTCTGAAGCGCTTCGTTACCTGCTGAGAAATGCAGCCGCCTCCAACCTTCAGCGCTCTTAGATGAGTAATCATGACAGAAACAAGCAGGAACTGAGCAGAGATATCTGATCAGGAAATGTCTGAGACAGTGACTGATGATAAGAACTTTGTCTTTCTGCTAGTTTGTAAAACGTCTTGGTTAGATTATTCATAGCTAACTGTCACAGACACAGTTAACATGAACTAGGTTCTCCATAAAGGTGTAGAGTCTGATCACACTGAGGCCTCCGGGGTTTTGGATCATATTACAACATATGTTGTTACTCTGATACTCATCCATGTATTCCACATGATTCATGTTTTTATGTTTATCAATATGTTGCTTTTCATGTGCAGAAATGTCATTTTGCCCTAATCTCTCTTCACACAGCGCCTGGCTGCAGCATCAGGCACCTGGTCTTATGTTGTTTGTCTTGTTGTTGTTGTTAGCTATCCTACTGTGACAGAAACTTTTAATCATTTTAACCATTTTGGAAAGTTGGAGCTCAGATTGTGAAAGATGTTCTAGTTGCAAAGTAGGAGGAGGAAGTGACCACAAAACAAATCACTTGTTGCACCTCTCACTTTCCAAAAGGTGTAAATAAAAAAAGAAAAATGTGAGTTTTTAG